TTATGCCTCTGAGGAAAGAGAAAAAAAAATAATGTTCCCATCTCTTCCCTAACAACCTCCCTCTTCAGCCTTCTCTCCTAGAAGAGCCAGAATGTCTGTTGATCCTTGCATTATCCTGGTTTTTTTAGGATTTTTCATTTGGTACGTCTCTGATCTGTCTACCACTTTCTCAAAGTCAAGGGCCTGAGGCTGGATGGAGTACTCCTGCTGAGGCTTACTTCTACCTTGTGTGCAACAGAAGTGAAATTCCCCTGTTCCAAAGCATTGTCTTAACTCTTTTTCATGTTGTAACCCATAATAGCTCCCCAAATCCTTTCGTCTTTAATGAATTATTATTTGTCTTTTGTGTAGCTTGGTGTAACCCATAATAGCTCCCCAAATCCTTTCATCTTTAATGAATTACTATTGTCTTTTGTGTAGCTTGACTTATTAATCACCTATTAAAAGAAAGCTTCTTGACTTGAGAAGATACTGTATTCTTGAATTCTTACTGTCTTCTGTGCATACAAGCTATTGTCACCTGCACATCTCAGTCTACAGAGTCATTACTGGAAGTGTTGACTAGGTCTGAGCATAAGACACTACTGTGGGACTATTTAAAATGATCTTGACTTTCACAAAACCACACCAGCTGCTCACAGTTTTCTTCCTACCATTTTTAAGACATTGCAACGTTTCTCCTAATATTTTCAGCTGTCCAACTTGTTTAACTTTGAGTCTATTTTTCATCTTCTTCCTTTCTCAGGACACTTCCATCAGTGACAGTCATCCAACAACTGTAAGGGGTTCAGAGATCTCTGATGCCATCTTAAGTAGTCGGGGGTGACTACCATTTCAGAGCACTTTGTTTCCTTGAAGAACAAAGATCTGCTCAAGAACTTCAGGTGTCCCAGTGGGCAGGTGAATATTTGCTGAGAAGCCCTCAAAATCCTCTCTGTAGGCACCAGATCTTAATTCTTTCCAGGGTTTCAAAGCATCACTCCTAAAGTAAAATAAGGAACATTTTTCTGAAAACACTGTTTTGCTAGTGAATACATAGAAGAGAACTTCACCAAGCCACAAAAAAAAAAAAAATATATAAC